AAAAAGAGGGGTCAAAGGAGTCAGGAAGACCTAGACTCAAATACTATACCAATACTTTTCTGTTTATGTACTTTAGGGCAAGTTAATTAACCCCTCTGTATTTCAGTTTCCCCATCTGTAAAATGGGGAGAATAAATGTAATCTGCCTCAGAGGATTGGTGTGAAGATTAAATGAGATAATACAGCATGGCACTTGATAAGAGCTTATAACACTAGTTTTAAAAATATGTTAAAATAACCCTTTACTTCCCAGCTGAGTTTACAGTCTGTCCTATGAGGAAACAGTAGAGTAGTTAGGAAATTTTCTTTCTAAAAGGATGTGTATTTTAATGAAAAATATGGTAATAATCTGTATCATGGGGCGGCACCTGTGGCTCAAAGGACAGGGTGCTGGCCCCATATGCCAGAAGTGACGGGTTCAAACCTAGCCCTGGCCAAAAACTGCAAAAACAAAAAATAATAATCTTTATCATGATGACACTTTACGAAGAAATGTTGACATTCAATCATTCTAGAATTTCCCTCTAGATAGACACTATCGTACTTTTAAAAAGAACTTTTTATTGTAAAATAAAACTGATAAAGAAAACTGTCCTAATCAGATGAATGGCTTAATGAATCATTGTTAAGACCAATACTTTCTTTCTTTTTTTTTTTTTTTTTTGAGACAGAGTCTCATTTTATCGCCCTCAGTAGAGTGCCATGGCATCACAGCTCACAGCAACTGGGCTTAGGTGATTCTCCTGCCTCAGCCTGCTGAGCAGCTGGAACTATAGGCACCCACCACAACGCCTAGATTTTTTGTTGCAGTTTGGCCAGGGCTCGGTTCAAACCCATCACTCTCAGTATATGGGGCCTGCACCCTACCCGCTGAGCCACAGGCACCGCCCAAGACCATTACTTCTTAAGATAAGAAATAGAACTTTCCGACCCACTCCAGACTCCTTCTATCACAGCCCTTTCCCTTCTGCTGTAAGTAACCACTATCCTGACTTTCAGAGTGATCACGTAAAAAAAAAAGTTTTATCACCCAAATGTTTATTCCTTAATACTCTAGGTTAGTTTACTCTTGTTTTAAGAAAATGATTTTTAACTCTCTTTCATCATATTGGTTTTTCTTCTACCCCTTTCATTTATTTACAGCTTATCTGTTGAGAACCCCAGACCTCTGGAGCTCTCTCCCAGTATGGGTTTTGCTGATGGCACAATCTTGATTCAGTTCACCATGTTCCTCTGTCCTCTGTATTTTCTGCTAATTAACAACTGATCCAGGGATTGGATAAACTGGGGTTCAGTCACTTTGGTGAGACTGTGGGAGGCAAACCAAGTCTGGTTTGTTTCTTAGTGATCTTAGTAGCCAACTATGCATAATGCCTATTCTCTTTATTCCATGGGAGTTGCAAAATGGTAACATTCTACGTTTACAATTTTTTTCTCATTTATGGGTAGAATATTTGTATAAAAAGACATTCCCTCATTTAATATTAGTCACCAAATGATAGAGTTCATATAGCAAAGGCAAGGTGAATATCTGATTCTTTCCCTTTTTTTAACCAATTTTTAATATAACGAATTGGTTCATTACCATCCTCCAAATGTCACTACATCATATATGCATATAATTTGTTATTGCCTGTGGATTTAAATGTATTTGATGGTCCAGTGCAATTATTATCATTATTGAAATTCAAACTCTCATCTTTGGCTAGTGAGAAGTACTTCTGGTTAGCACCTGAGTCCTTTTTTTTGACGTAAACCTTTGATAGCTTTGATAGCTCCTTGCTATCTAATATTACAAGAACGTCCATGCTCATCTTGTAGATTTCCTGCTTCCAAACCTGGAATAAGACATTTCTTCAAGAAGCTCTGGTTCCTTTCATTGAGAAATGTTATTCTAAAACCAAAATCTAGCTTGGGATATTCACTGCTACTGGGTTGGTCATTGTTTCTAGGCCTTTTCAGTGAACAGAGCTAGGAAATGTATGTGTATACAAATATCATGTAAGTTTATATCAATATTTCCAATTAAAATTCAAAACTACAGAGTTTTACTTAACCTCTTTTCTATTACATTTGTATTTCCTTTCATCCATACAGAGAACTTAGGTTTTTGAGGGCCAAAGGAATAATAGCATCCAAATCTTCCATAATTAGACATTTATTTTGATACTCTCAGTAAATAATACAAATACTGTCAGCAGCATGATGACAGAAAACCTTTGAACTTTTTTTGTGTGTTTTTTTCCCTGCTCTTTACCCATTTTTTATTAGTTAGGCTATGTTCCCATTGTTAGAACCTGCAGCCATAGCATGCTACCCTCTCTCCACCTTAGTCTTCGGGTGGCTCTGTCTGTTACCACTAGTCCTTTTTTTTTTTTTTTATTGAATGGTAACTATGTACATTAATGCACTTCTGGGGTACAGTGTAGGGTTTTCACATGCAATCCGAAATACTTCCATCAAACTGGTCAACACAGCCTTCATGTCATTTTCTCAGCACTAGTCCTAATAGTGCAGTCTCTTCAGTCATTTGTGGGCGTTGGAAGTTTGCTCCCTAGTAGATCTTTAGGAAAGTTCCTGAGAACACTATTCCTTCAGCTGTGAAACATCGATAATAGCTTTTCTGTGTCCTTTATACATGCAAGTCAGTTTTATTGGCTGTATTATAACATCTTTGGCTCACACTTTCTCTCCTTGAGTATCTCAAATGTACTCCATTTTCTTCTGGTGAATCTTGCTGTCAGTCTAATGATAATTTACTTTGGCTGATGGCACATGTCCTTTTTTCTAGATGCTGAAGGAATATTTTTTCTTTTACGTCCAGTAATTTTACTAGACTTTCAGGGGTAGTCATTTTGGTTCTGTGGTCTCAGGAGTGCTCTGCCATCCTTCAACATATTGACACATATGGTTTCATATGTCTTTTTAAAAATATATATATTTTTTAATTTGTGCGAATTTATGGGATACATAGGTAACTTTATTACCTTTGTAGGTTGCATCGTGGTCAAGCCAGGACTTCCAGGAATCTCACTGAAAATGTAGATTATACCCGTTAACTCATTTGTCATCATCCGCCCTCCCCACCCCTGCACTCTTCCAGTCGCCATTATCCCTCATTCCACGCTCTCTGTCCATATGAAATAATACAACTTTTTTCAGGAAAACCTTCTTGAATAATAGGTTTTTTGTTTTGTTTTTTTTTTGAGACAGAACCTCAAGCTATCCCCTGGGTAGAGTGCTGTGGCTTCACAGCTCACAGCAACCTCCAACTCCTGGGCTCAAGCGAGTCTCCTGCCTCCGCCTCCCAAGTAGCTGGGACTACAGGCGCCCGCCATAACGCCCAGCTATTTTTTGGTTGCAGCCGTCATTCTTGTTTGGTGGGTCCAGGCTGGATTCGAACCCGCCACCTTAGGTGTACGTGGCTGGCGCCTTAGCCACTTGAGCCACAGGTGCCGAGCCTTGAATAATAGGTTTTAACATCACTTCTGGTTCTTGCATTGTTTTACTTCTGCAGATTCCAGTTTGTCATGTACTCAGCAGTCTTCCTTACCCATCTTCAATATTTTTTACTTCCTTTGAAATCTTTTTTACCTCCTTCTTTGTTTTATTTATTTATTTATTTGAGACAGAGCCTCAAGCTATCACCCTGGGTAGAGTGCTATGGAGTCACAGCTCACAGCAACCTCAAACTCTTGGGCTCAAGCAATTCTCTTGCTTCAGCCTCCCAAGTAGCTGGGACTACAGGCGCCCGCCACAACACCCGGCTATTTTTAGAGATGGAGTCTCACTCTGGCTCAGGCTGGTCTCAAACTCATGAGCTCCCGCAATCCACCCTCCTTGGCCTCCCATGATTACACGCATGAGCCACCACACCCAGCCTGTTTATTTTGTTTTAATATTTTGTTTTAATATTTCACATTAGTACTAAGATATACATTAGTACTAAGATGTAATTCTTTTACTATATTCTGAATTTTAAAATTTTTATGTTTTTCTTAAGGCCTTATCTGTTGAGTTGCTTTATCCTTTTATTTCAAAAGAGTTTTTCTTTTAATTTCTAATATTTTTCTGAGTTCTATCTGCTTATTTCTAAGTCTTTTTTGTAATTTAGATGTATGTTCTTTCGAGCCTTGTACCGTTTTCCTGTCTTCAGCTCACCTGACTCAGCAGTTTTCATCTGTTTTGTGAGTGCATCTCTCAGGCATGCTGCTGTTGTTTATTGTGATTCTGTTGCTTTTTATTTTTCTCGTCATAAATTTGTGTGGGATTTTACCTCCATGATCTTTTGTTATTCATTTTTATGTGAAATTAGGTTTCCTGATTTTAAAATGAGATAAAGTTCAAAAAAGAGTTAAACCTCACAGAGTTAACGACTCCTCTTCTTTTTTTTTAAGTGATGTTCAAAAAATTGACAGCTGCTTTCTGTCGCTTTCTGTGTCCCCTTCCACCACTTCTTTTTCCCTTTCTCTCTCTTCGCTGCTTCTCTCTCATCTTGCTTAATCTTGATTCCACCTTCAGCAGTTTCTTCCCTTTCCTGGAAGGGATTCCTGCTGCTGCCTCTCAGGAGTTCCCCGGGGCCCAGGGGAGTTCTCTCTCTGGGCCCCTTGCTCTTGCTTGCTACAGGAGCTGAAACTCATCCTGTTTTAACTGCTGTTCTCAGTGTCGCACACCAAGTTTTCTATAAGTGGGTGGTGGCTGTTCTGAGGTTCGCTCGTTCTCAGCTCTTGTCAGCACAGATGCCAACACAGAGCAGGTCCATTGGGGGACTGTGCCCCTGATGGTTCATACACACCTGTTTGCGTTTGGGGGGTTCGTCGTTCTCCTAGTTTGTGAATGGTGCGCATGTACGTGAGAGGTTTTGCTGTATAGTCACTCTGCCTTTTGTATGTGGAGATTTGAAGAAGTGGAACTGTCCTACCCACCGCTGGTTACCACTACCAGATTTCCAGAACCCCTTTTTTCTCTTTTTACATCTCTTACTTAGAAATCTAGGAACACTTCCTCAGCCTGACTCCAGGGGCTTTGTTTTGTCTTGTGAAATGCCCTGGTATTGCCTGAGGATAGACGAGAAAGCACATGTCCTTCTCTGCCAAGACTCTGTTTTCTTTAAGGGCCTACGCGTTAAGCTGACAGTCAATGTAAGGTGGATCTGACTTTCCCTTTTTGTAACTGATGATTTGTGTTATTTAAACAGCGTGCAGAGATGTTGATGATCAGTAAGTGAAGATGACGCAGGTACACAAAGGGGCCGGGAAAAAATGCTGAAACTTGGGCGTCACTTTCACGTTCAAATGAACACAAACCAAATAGTTTTGTTACGGAATGATTTCTGATTGTTAAATATTAGAACATGTTAAAGAATTCCCAGTGTATTTTGGGAATGCTAATTTGATATTTTGTTTCATCTTAGAAAAAAAGAAAGAAATCCAGGAAGAGGTAAAGTGTCTTTCGTAACTGTAATAAGTGTCCTGGTGGAACTTATATTCTAGGGCTGAAGCAAAAAATGGAAGGAGTTGATTTCATGAAGTGATCGTTGCTAGGAAGAAAAAACATTGCAAAGGGGAAGCAGGAGAGTGGGGCAGGGGTTGCTAGTGCCCTTCTCCAAAGAGGTGACTTCTGATCTGAATCCCAAATAATGAGCAATGTCAGATGTACAAATCACTGGGATGTGAGCCCTCCGGGCAGAACATACAGCAAGTAGAAAAACCCAAGGTAGAGTGAGCCCCACAGGGAGGAAGGAAGCAAGACAGTGTGACGGAAGCAGAGTGGACATGGAGAAAGGCGTCGGAGATGGAATCAGAGGGGCAGGCAAGGCCTGAGTCACAAAGAAGCTAGTGGGCTTGGGGAAAGAGTTTAGATTGTAATTTAAGCACAGCAGAAACCGCTGGAGGGACTTTATCGTTATCATTATTATTATTATTTGGAGGAACTTTAAACAAAAGAGTAGCATGATCTGGCTTAACTTTTAAGACATTTGCTTTGACTGCCATAGGGGCCTATGTGTGGAAATCAAGTAACAGTTTAAGGAGAGACCACTGCAGGCAGCATAAATGGTGAGATGTGGTCAGATCTGGGGGATTATTTAGGGGGAAAAGTAACAGAACTTGCTAATATGCTGGGTGAGGAGAATCAAAGATGTCTTCTAGGTTTTTAGTTTACCTCTGGCTTTTTGTTTCTTCCAAGAGAAGTTTAGATAGGACTTTGACTCTAAACAAATAAAGTCACTATTAAGCAAGTAAAAAAAAAAAACAGAAAATAGCCCCAAACTGAAAGACAGTATTCAATATTTACTTCTAACTTTTCCAACCAAAAAAAGACTTGATTTCTAGATTATATAAAGTATTTCTGTAAATGAATAAAGATTGAAATGGGAAGGATGTGAAAGACACTTCTCTGGAAAGGTACCACGAATGGTCCATAAACTTAGGAAAATATACTCAAGTTCCTCAATAATCAAGGAAACCACACCCAGACCAAGGCAGGATTTCATTTTGTGCACATTAAATTGGCAAAAATTAGTCAGATTCTTACCCTGGTGAATATGTGGAGCAGCAGCAGCTCTTTTGAAAGTATTTTGCTGGTGAGAGTACAGGTAGTACCATGATTTTGAAAAGCAATTTAGCATTATCTTATAGAGTTGAAACCTTTGCCCATTTAGGCTAAGAGACGTATATTAAAATGTTCATGTCAGCAAAACACTGGAATCAATTCAAATACATATTAAAGGATAATAGAAGAATAAATCATAGTGTATTTATGAAATGAAATACTACATAGCTATGACCTATGAACAGTCACGAATATTATTCCAACTATAAGCAACAACATAAATGAATCTTGGAAACGTACAGTATGACACTAATTTTTAAGGCTCAATAGTAAGCAAAACTAAAAATTATTCAGACCACCTACATGTGAGATAGAACTTAAAAAAACCCAAAACTTTCGGAAATGAAAAACAGATTTGGGGGTAAGAGTGGGGTCTGGGGGAGAAGCAGGAGGAGACAGTGGAGAAACATGCAGACAAAGCAAGGAGGCTGATAGTGGCTGTTTCGTTAGTTAGAGACTAAGTACATAAATATAAATTCTGTGAGAAATTAAAGGAAATTCAATAGAATTACAAAATGGAGGAAGTATTAATAATTTCCAAACTCTGACCTTCACAATACTATGTTTATAATCTAGTTCAGAGAGTCCAAGGTCTGGGCCCCTCTGAGGCCCACACATTTCAGGCTTCCCAAGAATCTTGAAATGTGACTTGACCTAGTAGGCTGAGATTCTGGGTTCCCCAGTAGCCATGGAAGAGAGGAGGATGGTTCAACTTGAATGTGAGTAAACATTGTTTCCCATGTTTTTTTTTAACTTTCTTTTTTTTTTTTTTATTAATTGATAGCTGTATACATTTATGCATGCATGGGTTTTTAGTAACTAAGCACAGGAAATCTAGCTCAGCCTTTACCTTTTACTTTACTGACCTTTCTAGGAAGAAAGAACTTAGAGACTGTTGGACAAGTAAATTATCCCCTGCAGCTTTGAACAAAGAGTCTCAGAATGACGTCATGGGTTGCCCTCTGTAGTGCCAGCATCCAGCACTCTAAGACCTATCTCAGTGGTTGGAAGACTCTTTCCTCCAATTCCCAGCACTTCAGACACTCCATCAGGACAGATACACAAAAAGAAATTACAAGTTACCAACCTCCAGTCTCTAAGAGGTTTGTCTTTCTAAACTCTCCGTGGATAGCACAGCAAATGGCAACCAATCTTTGAACTCTGAGAAGTCAGACTCGAGTGCAGTACCATTTTTTCCTCTCCAGTTCTAAACTTTAGAATGCCGGGAAATAGCAGAATATTCCCATAGATTCCAGAGCCATGGTTTTGGTGTACTAAGGAAAGTGAGTGAGTGAATGAATGAGTGAATTTGTACATTTTCTTTTTAATCAAAATAAATATCTAGGTGGAAAAATAACAAGTTCACCACCAAAATGAGTAAAAGCATTCTCAGATTATTTTCTGAAACATACCTTGAGCACCTTCTACGTGCTTGATGCCGAGCTAGGCACTCTACAACCACATGGCTAATAAGCAGAAGAATGACCGTCAGATACAGGACTTAATTCTATAGAAAATGTGCTTTCCCTTTTGTAGGAGACACATTTCACCAATAGAGATTGAGAAAGCCAAAATGAGATAATTCATCCACACATTAATTTGTAACCCTGCATTTCCCATATAAAATGTCATAGATGTACTTGCATGCACGATTGTTTTTGTGAGTGCCAACTCCGGATGAAGTCACCGTCTATCTGCATTATTTATCCAGGTTTAAAGTGTGGTTTCTGTGATTCCTGCTGTGCCCTGAGCTGCAGCCTTATTAGTTCCTTTTTGGTTGATTAATGTACATTGCAATTCTTAGAAGATATAGTGAGACCTCTGAAAACGTCTGGTGAATACTTCCTGTAGTTTGTGGGTGTTTGGTAAGCCAATTACTTTCTGTGGTGGATGGGTTTTCTGTGCACCTTTTAGTTTTTAATTCCCTTAAAAGAAGGGACTTTTATTTTAAGGGCAGTTAGGTAACTGCCATTTTCTGGGTTTCTCAATGTAGATTTCACTTGATTTTTCAAAGGATACTATGATAAAAGACGGAGATCCTCCCTTCGCACTGCAATCACATTCAGGAAGGTTTCAGTCATTAATAGTGCTTTAGCTACCAGTGATAGGTTGAGGTAAGACTAGAGGGTTTGACCTGAATTGAGGGACAGTCTACAAAATAGCTGGCCTGTACCCTTCAAAATGTTAATGTCTTGCAACAAAGGATTACCCAAGAACTATTCTAGATTAAATAGAATAGGGGACGGGACCACTGAATGTGGTGTGTGATCCAGGATTTTCTTGTGGTCTAAAAAAGACATTACTGGAATAATTGGTGAATTCTAAATAAAGTCTGAGGATTAGATTTGTATTGTATCAATGCTAATTTCCTGATTTTGATCAAGAGGAGGTTCTTGATTTTAGGAAACATAGTCGGTTTGCTATAATGCCTGTTTTGACGACATGAAATTGCTCCCGTGCGATCAGTATGTTAGGAACAATTTGAGCATGATGTAAATCTCTTTTGACTTAATTTGCTTTGATTATGCTGGATTTCATCCATGGAAAATGTTAGGTCAGTGCAGAAAGCTGCATTCAACCCAGATGTAATAGGAATACCCAAAACCCATACCCCTCAAATATCTGTGAGTTACCTCAATCTGCTGCACGTGATAAGCCGCATCCGTCCTGTGTCCAGAGTGGAGATTTTCTGTCCTTTCACCACTTCACAAGATACTGACAGGCTGCCACCCTTCTGCCACAATTCCAAAAGAAAACTTTAGATGTTTTTCAAGGTAAAATGACATATTTATTGCAGTATTTATCTATTTCGTAGCCCTTTATAGTGTAAGTGTACTTCCATTTTTATTAAGTTTTTATCTTATTTCTAATGTGTACCTGATGAAGTTTTGGGGTGTTGTCAAAATGGGTGATTTTTAGGGTGCCTGTGTCACAGTACAGTAGAATTGACTACACAGGCAGTCCCCAGGTTACGGACAACCTGACCTACAGTGTTCAGTACTTATGAACAGGCTCCAGAGAGGCCCCATAAGGATAATTTATAATTAAGTTAGTAAGTTGTGAACTAGTTTATTTCATGCATGTAAATAAACCTGCGTGGCACAGGCCGTTTGTGGGCGTGGCATCTTTAACCAGCAGCTGATCTCGTTGTTTATACAGTCATCTCTCTCACCTTCACTTTCTGATTCAGTTTTTCTGAGTTTCCCCTCATGGTCCATGACTACAAAGCGAAACTACACTGCAGGTCAAGGTGAGCCTGCAGTGAAGAGAAAGGTGATTGCAGTGAAACAAAAGTAGAAATAATTTAGCATTCAGAGAAAGGCCAGGTGCCATGATTCCCTGGGAAAGCACGAGGCTGCAGTCGCTCAACTATCAGAAAAATTATAAAGGGTAAAGTGAGAATAATGGAACTCATGCAAAATGAGTGTAACATTCTTATTAGCCCAGTATGGATGCAACGTTAGGTGAGTGTTAACCTTTAATTTTTTTTTTCTGAAATTTCTCTTATCTCCTATTTATACTTTT